TGAAATTCTCCGAAAATATTAATCGATGTTACAAGTCTAATTTAAATCACACCAATATGCCACCACTTTCCACTAGCTGCCTACCCTTGTGTAATGCAAAAACTCACAGTATTTAATTTATAAATTGCTTCCCAGGTATATATTTTATACGTATGTATTATATGTTCAAAGAAACCGATTACGATATAAAAGAAAACAATATATTATTATGCAGTATACAGTTTAATGGATAATAATTATTTTAAAACGGATCGTGATCAGGTGATAGTTTCGAATTTCAACTTACTTAAATGCATATAAATGTCCACATTATATAGAGCATTTCTATCGTTCTAGTAACCGTCGTCTCTGTTACACTGGAGTGTCTACTGGACCATAAAAGGTTCCTGTTTTACTGTCGAGATCAACTTACCGGAACTCACATAACTTGTCACCTTATAATATTATGTAGGTAACAGCGGAACACTATCATTATTATGTATAATAAAACACATTTGGCTTAAGTGAACACGCAATCGATTATTATAAAGTATTAAAGTTGTTGCACAGTATTCGTGCTTAGGTCTTAGATGACACAGAATTTTCTTTTTTAAAACCATTAAAAATTTTTTTTTAATATTTTGGTTAGGAAAATATTTTAAAATTGTTACAATCAAATAACTGGAAAAATAAAAAAATGAAAAAACAACAAAAAACGTAAACAAACTCTCGTTTTGAACGGTGTAAAAAATTGCCGATATACTGCTATGCTTGTTTTGGAATTCAGTTATTTCAATTGAATCGTTTTAAATTTAAATCAGCCAGTCCCGGTGCAGGCCCACCTTAAAGCGTGCATCATTCATTTTTTTCTAATAGCAACTTAAATTTTTTCTACTCTGGTGCGACAGTATATTTACGACTGAATGGTGGAATAGAAATGATGACGGTATGTAAAATAATTGTGTTCATGTTACCGTGAGAAATCAGTATGTGAACATGTGATGCGATAAGAAATAAATTACGTTTCTCTTGGCTGTAACTTCTTCGTCCTATTGAAGAGTATATTATATGGTTACTGAAATCGAAGTCAATTTCTGAAAAATGTTTTGACTCCACAGCAAATCCACCGTGAATAATATTGGTTTAAATTATATTTTGTACAAACACACACACACACACACACACACACACACACACACAAATACTATTTTAGCAGCTAGTATGAAGTGCACGAGTGGTGTTTGAAGTGAGTAGTTATAGACTTTTTACCATTTTACTGATCGTAAATTCAAAAATATACTGTATTATTTTCTTAGAACATACTCGTAAATAAATAATAATATGTATGTTGCATTGAATCCAATTTCGGTAGTAGAACGCTTATATAGTGTGATTTTCCTTATATGTTTATTTGCGTTGGACATTTACTAGTATTTCATTTTAAACACAACTTGTACAACTTCATTACGGTATCCGTTATAATATTGTTATGTAAGTTTAATTAAAACACGCCATTCAGGAAAACATTAATTTCCACAACGCCGTGGAACAATATAAATTTCAATTTGATTGGGTCCAAGGAATAAACGTTTAAATAATTGCCTATACTAAACGCCGTCGTAATAATTTGCACACAAACAATATTGTGCTAAATGTCAATGATCAAAATTATTAATTAGAGGCAGTCATTCAATCCTTTTAAAGAAATATAAAACAATAAACCAATACGTAGTTGAACGAATAATATCGTTGTATTATCAATTAGACCGCACACCTCCATTGCTTTTTAAATATATTTTTTAATACCCGATAACTTTACTAAAGGCTTAATAATTTTACTAAAACAAGCAAATAACATTACATTTATTATAATATGGTACTGTCAATGGTTGAAATTCCGGCAATGTAGGTTATGACTTATGACTAGGCGATGTCAGTTATGATGCCGGTGGAAACTTTGTAATCTGAGTATATTTCTGTAATTAACTAATAGGTTTAATCAATGGCCTTTACCATGGCATTTCTTAAGTTAATTATCGTCGAAACATTAAATTACCGCCTTTTTTGGTGGAATGGCTGGGGACGTGACTTGTGAATATTATAAAAATAATTTATGCTGTCTCCCGATGACGAGCAAATTTCGGTAATATTCAAACAAGTACATTCCATGCTAAATCGTGGCGCACGAAAAAGAGTTTTCTTTAATTCTTTAAAATAAATATATAATTCTTTAATCCTTTAAGAGGATGTCAGTGCATTTTTTATTCCTCTTTCTGCTCTAAGCACAACATAGCAAATCGTACGTTCACAATAATGATTATAATCATAATAATTTCTAAAATTTCAGTGAAATGTCCCTTTATAAAATTCAAAGGTAAGATTATTATCTAGAGCATCTCATAGGCTTCTATTATATTTTTATTTGAAAGCAAATTATGAGTAATTTAAGATCTACAAATAATTTGAAATTTTAAAATACTGATAAGTTACTGTAAAATTAAAGTATAATTAAGAGCCTTTGGGATGCCATAGATAATAATCTTACCTTTAAATTTTATAAGAGATCATTTCACTTTAATTTTAAATGTAATTCTAAAATTCCATTATATGATTATAACGATTGTGGTGAACGTGAAATTTGCTATGTCGGGTAAGAAAGAGAAAAAAAATGTACTGGCATCCTCTTAAGAAAAGGATAATATGTGAGAGTTAGAAAAGTTGTTTCTACGAACAAACGAATAATGATAAAAGATTTATGGACCTGCCATGCAAAAATATGCTAAATATTTACTAAAAAAAAGTGAAGTAAAAAAGTCTATGAGAATAAAAAATGATTCAATCTCAACTTTAAATAGTTGTCTCTGATAGGAACTGATAACTGGTACCTGGAGGGGTCGTAAGTAGAGTATTCCAAGTTTCTTTTAAAAAAAAAAATAGGGAAAGTTTTACTGCAATATATTAGGTTACACGTGTATCTCATTATTGAGTAGGGTGTTAGGATTAGGTAGGATTCCAATGGACGTGTTAAATATGAAATCAATGATAAATCATTGCATACTGAAAATTATTCTATGCTGAGGTCTCCATTTCTAAAGCCATTTTTGTATTTATTTATTTATTTTACCATTAGAAATTTATTTTTCCGTGAAAGTATGCTATGTTTGGCTACATTTTCCAAAAAAACATTGCATAGGTATAGGTACTATACATTATTTAAATATTTTGTTGAAATCCAAAACATATCAACGTTTATATCTATGTAGGATTTTGGACATTCCACTATTACTATTTACTATTATGCTATAAAATACCACACAAATAGAAAAATATTTGAAATATTTCGACTAATTATACCACGAGAAAATGGACCTGTTGTTAAAACCATTCTGCAGTACACCGGTATTAATTTATAAGTTACTGACAATAATGTATGACATAATGTTATATTATAACAAAAATGATTAATGGACAAATATTCGAGATGTCTTAGAAAATCGTTATGCTGCACTTCAAGATAGAATCAACAGCATTATGCCAATGAGAACTGATCTTTATTGGCCAGATGCTGTTTGAAAATAATATTAATTCAGTCGATTACGGAACTGCATTTAGCAAATTTTTTATCATTGTTCATCATAATGCTTATATCAAATATTATGATAATAATTGTTTTAGTAAAATTTGTCAAGACAAATTGAATTGCTTTTATTAAAATATATTGTTTATTTCAAACACTTGACTGCAGACATATCTACTGTAAAGGTAACCCATTTTAAAATTGACGTGGACATTCTATAATTCGACGACAATTATTTTATCAAGTTAAACTGATTTAACTCAATTTTATGTTTGAAACTTTCTAACTATTTGATGATACGTACAATAACTATTACAATTAATGTTTAGTTATAAAATAAAACAGTATTACTTTAAAACCACGTAGGAGTATAGGGCATTGATAATATTCATCCAATATTTTGTCATATTATTTAACAGTGTATTATTTAGATCCATCCTGACATTTATTATAGGTACTTACAACTGTACATTGTGTTTTTCACAGTGCTAAAATGACGGTGTCGATTTACGACAGTCGGCAAGTACATTCTTTAGTTTCACCGTTTTCGTGATCGAAATTATTTTTTAACTGTATTGAATGGTAAAAGTTAAAAAATAAATAATTTGAACCGTTGTCTTATTAAAATTTTTTTTAGCTGTGGCGAATGGTAAAAACTAAAAATAAATAATTTACATTTTTGAGCAAAATTAAGGTACTTAGTAGGTACCTAGCTAAATTTAAAAAATGTGTAAACGAAATAAATGTAAACATTTGGAATGAAATAAAATGTAAGGTTTTCATGAGTTGTTTATCCTATCTGTACTACAGTTTATGTTTATCATTAATTGATTCAAGGATAATTATTTAATATAATACTTAAAGTCTTAAGCTGAAGTAAATATTTGAAAATGTGTCTCCTTCCAACAGGAAAGTATATAGACTGACGTGTAAATATTTGAAAACGCAGTTTCATCAATATCACAGAATCATATTATATTAAACATTAATACCAGAATAAACTTTATTTTAATCATAATACACCATAATATAACCACAACTAAAATATATTATAGTTTCTTAGTTTCGGAAGTATAGTAATACCATGCACGATCGATGTGCACGATCGACTGCACTTATATATTATGCACATTATTGTTCATCTATATGATACATTAAAAACACGTCCTGATGACATGTGCTTATTACAGTAATAAGTTCGACGCTTTGGAGTAAAATTAAAATTTCGATCAACAATAATAAATAGGCTATACAACATGATAATGGTTATGCAATATTAAATGGCAATAAGTAATTATTATTACACAGCAAGTGTCTGAATTGTCACGGTTTTAATGTTAATATTAAACATCGAAACACCGAAAGAGTTCTATCACAAGTTAAAATGAGATGCTCAACGGATTCAAAATACATTTTTAACTGTACGTTTTTTCTTTCGTTTTAGCTTTTCCAAAGAATGTGCAAGAAGGCTTTTCAACCACCCCACCAGTATACCAGGAATATTACGAAGCAACAGCTATACATCCGTACGAAGTCAACCCGCGCTACGTGCAACACTCGAATTACTATAAAGAATATTTAAATTACTGAATCATAAACATTAAACGTGTCAATGAAATATCTGAACAACAATCAAAATGTTTTCGACTTGTTGCCAGAACAATTATTATGACACAATATTGTACTGTAACACAGGTGTATATGTGTGTGTGTGTGTGTGTGTGTGTGTGTGTACACATCGATCGTTAAAATAAAATCTGTACGGAATAAAAGTTGGAATTTCATCATTTACTCGACTAGGTATACGTTTTCCTTTATATTTTACCTATTATATTGTGATAGACAGTGAGAAACAAATAATAATAAAAGTATAAAAAAAGTTTTATCATTATCCGTATATTTTATAGTCATCGTCATTTTTAGTGGGTATTGTAGAGTGCCAAACATTCCCGTGTTCGATTCCATAGACATACTTAGAAGTTATAGACTTATAGTTAAGTGTTCAGTGTAGGTATGCATAATCTCAACTCGCATACAAACGTGTTTGAGGATTTGTTCCTCACCCCCTCTCACGCCATTCTTTATATTTGTTTTTACTCATAACTTAATATTATTACAGACAATAAATAACGCCACTACTATTGTTTGTGAGAATAAAAAATGTGAAAAACTCTAGACAATTCATATTCGAAATACTTGAGGTTAACTTTCAAAATAGGAAATATGATTTCTTTATATCTTTACATCTGCAAGGGATTTGAATTGAATGAAACACAAAAAAATTGGTATTTCATTCATAAAAATATTCATTTTATAATGAACTTAAAAATCCAATCAATTTACTTCAATATACGTTTAATGTTTTTAAAACTATATGACAGTATCGCTTTGTTAAGATAAAAATGTCTGTTCATATTTATTTTTAAAAACATAATTTATTTACGTATAGATTCTTATATTAATTATAAAAAACCATTAAGGTATACTGTTACAGCCCGTGTAAAAACTTTAGATTTACGAAATTTTTTTCGAGAGAAATATTAAAATAGAAATGAAAATCTTGACGCTAAAATATTCCCTTGGGATTGGTTATAATTTATAATTGGTCTACATATTGAACAAATACACCTATTTTACCTACCCGTGTGTCCATAACGCAGTAAAGTATTGTTTAATTTTCTGACCACCAGCTGTTTTAATTTCCCCATGTAAAACTGTATTGGTTAGGTTGTATATCACGGGGTAACATTCTCGGTATATTAGTTTACGAGCTATAGTTATAATTAAACTATTTTTAAGGACTATTATGCCTAGTAATAATCATTTTGATAATTGAGAAATTACTCGTTCTAATTTTGAATTAGAAATATCGAAGTTTCCAATAAATTACCCACTAAATAATTTACAGTTAAAAAATAGGTTATCATTCGACAAACAGAAGTTTGTATCGACACAGGGCACTCCTTATGTAAAAATGAAAATCTCAAGAATTTATATTTTAAAAATTAGGACAAAGCGTGATTGATGAATCACTTTGTACATAACTATTAACTAAGGGGTTCTGTCCTCTATTCGCTTCACTCATGACCTCCACGAGGGTTTTGGCCCCGCGACTTAAGGTTGACCCTTTGCATCATGAAATTTAACATTTGCAATTAAGAATATTTAAAAATAAATATATTATAGTATGGAAGATAAAATATATAAAACTTAATTTTAAATAATTTAGAGCTTTGGGTATTCAATTAATAATAATTATTAGGTATTTATTTATGTATTGGTTGCCATGGTGTTAATATTATATGAAAGATAAAATAAACAAAACTTTTTTTATAATAGATGGATATTATAAAATAAGAGGCAATTCGAGTGAATGATATTTTTTAAGTCGAAAATGAATTCTAGTAACTTTTTTAAATAAAAATACACGAGGGGCAATTCGTGAGCACCCGATATTGCTTATCACCTGTTAGTTACTAGAAGCTGCAAAATCGCCCATGAATTCAAAAGGTTAGTATGCGCACACGCGAGGCCCTTACAAGTTACAATTTAAATATAAATGGCGCTTTTCTTGATAATAAGGAGGTAAGGGTTCAGCTGCATATTCTGCGAGTATTGTGGCTCCGCCTATGAACTTTGACCTATAGCTGACCCGGTGACCGATGCCAACAGATCACAGATTTGATCACGTTAACATTTTTTATTGACATTTTTTCGTACGTCGCATATTTTATCATCCCAATATTATTTATCGAACAGTGTAGTATTACAAGAGTACACAGAGGTACTATAAGTGTACACACTATTGTGTGTCTAAATGAGATAAATAATATTATAATATGCTAATACCATAATAGTTTTATTATTTGAATGTAAATATGTATGGACACGTGTATTAATAATAATGCTGTGAATAAATATACACCGACGATAGAGCATTTCGATAGTAGAGATGGAATTTTCAATGAAGTTATTATAAAAGCTCTGCCGCTAATTTCATTATATTGAGGATTGTTATTTATACATTTTAATTCTTCGTTTCAAAAGGTGTCGAAGAGTCAATCTCTCAACTATTTTAACTTTACAGCATTCGAGCTGTTGCACATTACTAAGCGTAATAATTATCCGGGTGTGCCGTAGTGGTTGGCTTCAGGCCACAAAAGCGTGCTCTGAAGTCAAGCATCAGCCGGACCACCAGGGTTTTAGTGACAAATCCTCGCCACTTGTATAAAATTAACGCTTAAGCAGCGGTGTGTTTAACGAAAACGACAATCATTTCGAATCGCATTGTACTAAATTAGTAGCCGTTAGGTATCGGTTATTATAACATCCATTAAATAGGTATAGAATTATAGATGGGTAAGTCTATAATATTGTGAAACGTGTGTCCTTAATAATTGGATTATGCCCTGTACTCTATATAGGTACTCGTAATAGAATAAAAGCAAAAAGAGCCGTGTTTGAATGTTTTTCAAAATCAAAAACTCAATTCCACAAAAATACTATGCTAATATAAAGGGAATATAATTGAGTGAGTAATGTATACAGAATACAGAATACAGAAAAATGTAACGAATTATTTCTACAAATAAGCACTTACTTATTTATTGCTGAAATGTGTTACTGGAAATGTAAACTACCATTAATAAAGAATCATCGACATATAAATATTATTTGTATGTTTAATTCTTTACGAGTACGAACAATGCCTTGAAATCATGAATTACGCAAAGATTCATTGTTTGCGAATAAATAATATAATCGTTTTAATTAAATTTGAAATAAAGATGGATAGTGGGATGTGAAAAAATTGTTGTTTTTTTTTTTTTATTGCGTATTTCCTACAAATTAAAAATCAAATAAATACAGTGATTTAATCATAATGTATTCCCTTCAATAGCTCTATCAGTAGTTCTAACTCATAATATTAAATTTTATTCTGATTCTCGTTGGTTTTATATAATATAATAGTAACTGGATCTCAATTTGATAGTAAATACTTATAATAATTATTATTTGCTTTATTTGCTAGGAAGAAGAGCTATACACCAAGTAGAATAAATAAATACAAGAAATTACTATCTTTGCTCTACACTGAGGTAATACCTCTTCTCGTAGAGCAAGAGTACTTATCAAGATATAATTTAAAATAACAATAAGAGAAAAGGAAACTATTAATTAAATAATATAATGTAAATAACAATTAATAAATAATAATCTGAAGTATAAAAAGAATACAATTAGAAAATTAAGATAGCCAATTTATATTAATGTTTGAACTACTTTATAAATAGTGTTTTTGAATTACGACATTTTTTTACAGATTATCATATAACCTATTTTTTATTTTTCATTTTGTATTTATCATGTGAATAATATTCAAACACTTTATAATTTCATCTGGGATGACCTCTAGCGGCCTTAAACAATTTTGTATGCATGTATTAGAGGTTTTCACAGTGTCAGTAAACGGAATGTCAATATGTTTTATCCTGAGATTATGAGGGTCGCTTTTGACTTTGAACGATTTAGATTTAGACATATTGCTTGTTTATGTATAGTTTTTCAATATCTTGTGGTCTAAGACAGTTAAAAGTTACAGCTAGTTAATGTTTTTAAATTATAAAACTATTACGTTGTACATAAAAAAAAACTAAAATATCTTTTAAAAAAATTAAGGCGATGGCACTATAAATATGGTATAAAAATAAATATAAATCATCAAACCATTAAGTACTTCAAATACTCATTGATTTTGAACATAGTTCGCAGAACAAAATTGTATTGAAAACAAATTTTTAAAATTAAAAGCCAAAAAAACTAAAAAAAAAGCAAAATAAAATTGCATGTACCTATTTGATTCTGCATAGACACATAGTACATAATATTATGAATCGAATTAATAGTCCGTTTAAACAGCTTTATACTAGGAGAATGCGATAAAAAGTGATTCTTACGAAATCCAAACTAATAATAACTACCTATTAGGTAGTAGGTTATTACCAGCCTATTATTGATACCTATTAAAACTTTAAATACTAATAATAAAGATGGATCTCACGTAAAATATCATTAATGTGATTAAAATAAAATATTCAGAATAATTAGTATCTAATTTTTATTTTATTTTTTTTTTTACTTTTCAAATAAAATGTTAATTCCCTTATAATTTACTATATTTAGTTTTAAATTAAAAGTTTTAATAATTTAAACGTTTTTTATTTCTAAACTGCTAAAAAAAAAACATAAGTATTAAATATATCGCCTTCAAGTGACCCACATAATACTTCTTCAGACCTCCTATTGACTACCTTTTTTTTATAATTATACAATTTAAAATACTACATAGGTAGGTACTAATTTTATTTTTAAATAATTATTTTCATATAAATACTAAAATCGAGTACTTGACCTTCTATTTCTCAATGCTCAAATCTTATATAATTTCACGCTCTTGACCATCTTGTAATAGGTTGAAATATTGCAATTATTAAATCATTTAACTTATCCTGAAATTTTCGTTTACTTCTTTCATTGACAATGTACTTTAATTCTAAATGTATATAAAATATGATATTAACTTATAATACCACTCCAGCTACACATTGATTTATCCCCAATTTATCGTATATGCTGTAATAATGTATACATATATTTATTTATTACCTTTATTAAAACCCTATCAATATTTTAAATAATAAGCTTATTATTACCATAAAAAATAATTGTCGTTTGATTTAAAATTGAATTATCGAGGTTTTCGTAGTATGGT